GCCCCGCGGCGGAGGGAGAGGGAACCCCCGACCCGCCCGCGTCGGAGAAGGAGCCTGAAATTCCCGGCCCGAAAGAGGAAAGTGAGGAAGAGGAGGAGGAGGACGAAGACGAGGAGGAGGACGAGGACGAGGAAGAAGAGAAAGGTGAGCGGTGGGTTCTCCAGGAAGCGGGTTTCTTGCTCTTTTGCGCGTGGAGGCAGTCACTCGGTTGGCAAGAGTGTTCGGCAAGAATGCGAAATGCCTGCGGTTTTGTGCGGAGCAGCGGCAGGGAATTCGCTTGGCGAATCCCGGTGTTTCAAAGACATGGTCAGTGTTGTTAACGTCGCCGACTCCTCAGCATCCGAGGGCTTCCGTCGCGCGTCTGTCCTCTGACGGGAAGTTGGCAGGTTTCAGATCCGCTTTGAAAGCTCTCGGCCTTGGACGTTAATAAGGCGATGTCTCGTGTTAACCTTTTGCCTTTGGAGGTTATTGTCGAGTCTTTCAGGAGACGGCACGCCGAGCTGAAGGTTCGTCCTGGACATAGTGAACTTGTTGGCTGAGTTTCCGCGGAGGCCTCGGGGAGGTCCTTCGCGGGGCAGCACTGGTGACGGGAAAGCTGTTGCTCCGGAGAAAGTGGCCCCGGGCGAAAGCAGAGAGCTGTGAACGAAAGTAGACTAGGGGCCCGGTGCTGTCTGCCGTCTGCGTTTTGTGTCGAGGGAAAACACCGTTAACCCTGCGACGGGAGGCACGATCCAGGAGAACTTAGGGAGCTGAGGGAGGCGCTGCAGCCGCGCATCCCAAGCAGAGGAGGAGCGCGTCTTGGAAGCGCGCCCGGGAAATGCCCGGCCACCGAGGGATCAGTGTTGGAGATCTCGGCGTTCTCAGACGGGGTTAGCCCAGCCCCGGTGTAGTGGGCGGCTACCGCGCGGCCGCCCTGCGGAAGACAGGCAGGTGAAGTGTTTAAAAAGCAGGCTTAACTGCTCATTTCTGTTAAGCCACGACCAGTCAGTCCGCGTTCAGCATTTTATAAATACAGTTCGGGTTGAGATTACAGAGAATGGTCTGCCTTTTGTTTGTTTAGAAAAAAAAAATGTTATTTTGTTAACTACCCATAGTACCATAACAGAATTGGCTGTAATATGTACTGGTCCAAGATTTTTCCTCAGCACTTTTTTCTCCAATTTTGTTGTTTTTAGTGTATATATTATTGATTTCAGAGAGGAAGGGAAAGGGGGGGAGAGAGATTTGAAACATCAGTGATGAAAGAGAATCATTGATAGGCTGCCTCCTGCACGCCCCCAACTGGAGATGGAGCCCGCCACCGGGTATGTGCCCTTGTCCAGAATCAAACCCGGAACCCTTCAGTCCGCAGCCCAGTGCTCTGAGCCAAACCAGCTAGGGCTTGTTTTTAGTCTCTTTTAAAGACAGGGTTTGGGTGCCACAGAGATCGTGAATTTCAACATGAAATTTTTAAAATATATATTCCCAAGTAGTTCTTACTTATTATTCCTCATTTTGGGTGTTAATGGAACAACTAAAATTTCAGACGTTTTTATCCTACTTAGTCCTGAAAATTTAAGTATACTACTGAGGCATAAAAAAAGCAAGGCAATGAAGTTTGTACTAAATAAGGGATTAATTGACTTTTAGCGATAGTTTTCTTGGCAGGGTTTGGGAGGATGCCTAGTAAAAGATGACTCCTAGATTTCTGTCTTTGGCAGCTGGATGGATAATGTACCATTTTCTGAAAAATAGACTTCATTAAGGTGATTGAAGTTTGGAGATGATTATGACCTGTTTTGGGTACATTCAGTTAGGTGCTTATAGGACATGAAGTAGAGCTGTCCAGTGGCAGCCCTGTTGAAACTGGGGAAAAACTCTGGACTTGAGATAGACCAGGAAAATTATTAGCTTATACATGGCAAGTAACTCAAACCTAATGGTTTAAGTCACTAAAAGAAAGGAAGTGGGGTGATAACAGGGGTTGCTTTTTGAGTGCTTTTCTGTATACCATCTCCAGAATTTACCTGCTGGAATCCCTTTTTCTGATTCTTTCTGTGCAAATCCTTTTTATTTTTTAAAATCTTTATTGTTGAAAGAATTACATATGTCCCCTTTTCCCCCCATTGATCCCTTCTAGCCGCCCCCGCCCCCCCTTTTACCACACTATTGCCTGTGTCCATGGGTTATGCATACATGCATACAAGTTCTTGTTGATCTCTTCCCGCCACCCACCCCCAAATTTCCTCTGAGATTTGACAGTCATTCCATGCTTCTATGTGCAAAATCCTTACATCTCCAAATCTTAACTGTCCTTCAGAGCCAGTTCCAATGTTTTGATCCTCATTGGATTCCTAATCCAAAGATAATTACTCTTTCCTCAACTCTTAGAACTCTGTCTTTATTAAAAGTGTTCTGTCATCATCTACTTTTGAGTATGATATTTGTGTCTCATTATCTCTTCTCCCCCTTCCTCTCTCCCCCAAACATGATCTTCTAAAAGGTAGTATCAAAATCGTCTACTTAACCCTCGTAGCTAATGCAGCTTTGCACAAAATAAGCATTCAGTTCAATGATTGGAAGGATCTTCAGCGTTATAGTATGGGGTCCTCTTATTTATCCGACTTTATCTCAGTCAGTAGGTAAGTGGTTTTAGAAAAGCCGGCTTAGTGTTTTAAGTTTTAAAGTATATGTTCTATACATATACTTTCTTTTTTTTTAAAAAAAAAGGCAATCTGGACTAAACAGAATTTAACATTTTGGGATGATTTATGATCATAATTATGAACATCATTTATTAAACTACAAAGTAATGCCCTCCTACTTGATTGCAGTAAATGTAAACTTGTAGAATTTTACCCTATCCATAGTTGCCCCAGGCTGCTTTGTCTTAAGGTCCTTTGTTTTCTTTTCTGACCGCCAACTAAATTGTTGCTTTTCTGTATATCTTTTAAGTTCTTATAATCTTGTCTAAACTAGCTGTTTTCTGAGATATAGTAAACTGAATTTCAGTTAATAGAATTATGTCTAATTAAAGAATAGGCTAACTGAGGATGTTGGCAATTTTTCACAGTGACTGGACTTTGATAGCAATAATTGTAGTTGGATATAAATTTCCTTTCTGATTTTTTAAATATTGGATCCCCTGTGAGGTTGCCAGGTAAATATAATATTACTCAAAAAATTTGGTATTGCTATTAACTGATAAGTATTTTCATCTCTGTTAATGTTATATTCTCAAAAATCATGTTAAGGAGAAGAGTATGGTATTACGTTTCTGTGATTATTTCCTACATATTTATATAATAAAGTTAATACATTTAAACTTGTGATTTAAGAAGTATTAAATTAATTTCTAGAAAAGAGTCTCATCGTGGAAGGCAAGAGGGAAAAGAAAAAAGTAGAGAGGTTGACAATGCAAGTCTCTTCTTTACAAAGAGAGCCATTTACAATTGCACAAGGTAAGTTTATTCTGTGTTCTTTTATTTTATGATGAAAATGCCTAAATATACAAAAATAATGATTAGCAGTGCTTAGTTTTTAGTATTTACTAAGTAATATATTATTGGTATTATTTTATTTAGTTTGCCGTATTAAAACAAAAGTTATGTAAATTGTGTTATAAAAATAATTTTCATTAAGTTTGCAAGTGTATTAACACAATGGTATTTAACTTTAATTATTGTGGTATTTTTTTTCTAGGAAAGGGGCAGAAACTGTGTGAAATTGAAAGGATACATTTTTTTCTGAGTAAGAAGAAAACAGATGAACTTAGAAATCTACATAAACTACTTTATAACAGACCAGGCACAGTAAGACCTTTTTTATACCTTTAACCTAGTAGCATATTTATGTATTTCAAATACTTCACAATAAAGCAAATTTTAGTCCTAGAAAGGACTTTTAGCAATCAGCTAGTTCAATTTCAATACCATACAAGTGAACAAACTGAGACACATATTTTGTAAATGACTTATCACAGGATACATAGCTGGATATTAGCAATTAGGATTGCAATATCCAGGGCTCTTTCTAATGAACTTGTTTTTATGCCATTTTGAGATGTCAGATAGTGATGATTTTAATGTCTTTTTTAAATTGTATAAGAAATTTTTTTTAGTCATCCAGAATAACAGTATAATTGTGTATCATTTTGAGCAAATAGCTGATAAATTAGTTGGTAGTTGCCAGTTGATTTGTTAAAATCAGTGTTTCATTAACTGAGTTATTTTACTGTAGTCACCTCTTATCTGCATTGGGATACATTCCAAGACAGCGGTCGCCAACCTTTCAGACTTCACGGTCCGCCAGTGGTCCATGGACCATCGGTTGGCGACTTGTTCCAAGACCCCCAGTAATGCCCAAAAACAAGGATAGTATTGGGCCTATGCATATAAACCTATGATAAAGTTTAATTTCTAAATTACACAGAGTAAGAGATTAACCCTAAGCAATAATGAAATAGAACAATTATAACAATACCAGAGGCCCAGTGTATGAAATTCTTGCACGGGTAGGGTCCCTAGGCCTGGCCGGCGATAGGGGCCAATCGAGGCCTTCCTTTCCCCTGGCTGCCGGCTGGGCCTTCCTTCATTATGCGCCGCCCCCTGGTGGTCAGCACACATCATAGCAAGAGGTTGAACTCTCGGTCAGTCGAACACCCGAGGGAACAATTTGGATATCAGCCTTTTATTATATAGGATAGGATACTATAATAAAGGTTATGTGAATGTGGTCTCTCAAAATATCTTATAGTACTATACAATGTTCACCTTTTGACTTAAGGAAGCACTTTATGGCTTCTCTTTGGTATATCTGAATTGCCAGCATCACTCCTCTTGTGCTTTGGGGCCATCCTATCTAATAATAGACAAAGATGGTAATTAACTGTACCTCTGACATGCTTCCCATTGGCTAATCAGCGAGATATGCAAATTAACTGCCAACCAAGATGGCGAGAAGGTAAATAAATCCAAGAATTTAAATAAAAAAAAGAGAGAGAGAGGTTGGGAGGTTCAGTCACCTGCCAGCCTGAAAAATGGCCCTCAGCCCCTCACCCAGACTGGCCAGCACCCCAGTGGGGACCCCCACCCTGAAGCAACAAGATGGTGGCTAATTTGCATACTGAAGGCAGGCGGCAGTGGGCAAGGCTGTCCGTGGTCTGGGACCGGATCTGTGACCCTGCTGGGTGAGGGGCAGCGCAGGAGGCTGTCTGCTGTCTGGGACCCGGATCCGTGACCCTGCCGGCTGGGGGGGCAGTGCTTGAGGCTGTCCACAGGACCAAGACACGGATCTGTGACCCTGCCAGGTGGCGGGGGGGCAGTGCTTGAGGCTGTCCGTGGTCTGGGACCCGGATCCGTGACCCTTCCCAGCATGGCGGCATCTTGCACAGGGGCAGATCGGCCGGGGTTGGGCAGGGCAGGACACCTGGCTTCCACCCACCCCTAGTCACTGGGCAGGGGAGCAGTGCAGAGAGCCTCTGGACAGGGGAGGCAGGCTGGCCGAGGGCAGCCTGTACTCCCCACATGGCGGTGGTGACAGCTGTGAGTGCACCAGGCGGAGCTAAAGTAGTGCCTGCAGGCCATCACTGCCCAGGAGTTGCTGTGCAAGATCCGCCTCCTGGCCCAGAAGGTGCAGGATCGCAGGGACAGCCACCGTGGTGGGCCAGACTGACGTTCTCCTGGCCGCACCACGGGGGTTTGCAGATCTGCAAAGCCAGAGGCCTCCGGTGTGCACATCCCCCCCTGGCATGCGAACATACCCCAGCACACTGTCACCCTCCCGCGCCTGCAACAGTTGCAAACCAAGGCATGCACAAGTTCCCAACTCTCCACCGCACTTCCATAGACCCGGCATGCCTAACACCCCCACAGGATGTGCACACATCCCCTCTGATGTGCTCACATCCTTTGGAGAGTGTCTGGGTGTTCTGGGTGCTGAGGGTGGGCACCTGTGAGATGACAGTGAGAGGGCGGAGTGTTGATGTCCTGGTCCCATGGAGGCCACTGCAGCTACGAGATCACCTCTGGGTGGTTAATGCAGGTGCTGAGGCAGGAGCTGGTGCAGACAGACACACCTGGTGAGCAGAAAGG